GGGCTGCCCTAACTTTTTTTTTTTTGCACTTTTTGGTCACACCCAGCAATGCACAGGAGTTGCTCCTGGTTCATACACTCAGGAATCACTCCTGGCGGTGCTCGGGGGACCATATGGGATGCTGGGAATCAAACATGGGTTGGCCGTGTGCAAGGCAAACGCCCTACCTGCTGTGCTATTGCTCCAGCCCCGCCCTAAAATAACTCTTGCTCATAGTCCTTAAAGGTAATTTCCTCCTGAGAATAGAGTTAGTAGCAGGTCCTACCCAGGTTGACAGCATAGAGGAGGCAGGAGGGCACAGTAGGGTCCCCAAATCTAACATGGCCCATTGCCCCCTTTTCCTGAAATTTACTAATGCCCTCCTGGAAATCTACCTTTCCTAAGGGAAGAAATTAGAAAGCATCCCTCAACTGTACCTGAGATCCTCCTGGATTGTTCCTACAAAGGGAGCAGTGAAGTCACTGTTCTGGGAAATGTCACCCTCCATCCTCAGCCAGGCCCAGTTCCTTTTTCTGACAACACCCTCATGGGCTGGACAGAGTACCTGAGGGGTTTGATGCAGTGCTCCTGCAACTCTGCTCGGTTCAATCCCCGGCAACACCAACAGTGCCCCCGAGTACCACCAGGAGTGACCCTGAGCAGAAACTCAGGATTAGCCCTGAGCATTGCTGGGTGTGGCCCAACCCCACCCTAAAGAACAGCCGCCTCCCTGGCCTGATCTCCACCCTTCCAAAGGCACTCTGAGGGGTCGGGCTGGTGTCTGGCTCACAGCCCTGGGGGGGCTCTGCCTGGGGCCGGTCCATGTGTCCAGTTCTGTCAGCACATCTCAACTCCTTCAGAAGCCAGCCAAGCCTTGGCCGCTTTCCAGACAGGCTGCTGGGGTTCAGGGAGGTCACGCAGCCTGTGCACAGGTCCCAGATGCCAAACCGGTGCACCTGTGCCTGGGTTCTCAGCGTCTGTGCCAAGCATGGCACTGTTTTTCTTCTTTCCTGGGACAAAGGCTCAAAGCCAGAAATCCTCAGGCTCAAGTGTGGGCGAGCAGCAGCATGGAGGGGCAGGTCTGAGGCCACATTGGGGTGTTGCCCTCGGGCAAGGAGTCACAGCAGAGGCATATGCCCCACGACCCCTTGCCCAGAACCTCCTTGTACCTCTCCCATCCTGCTGCCCAGGGAGTTCCAGGACAAGCTGCTGGCAGCATGCCCCCGCCATCCCTGGACAAGCCCACCAGTGACAGACGAGGATGTCACTGGGCTCAGGAGATCGGCGAGGCCACGGGGAAGGTCACAGGGATGCAGAAACATGAACATGGACCAAGCCTTGGCCTTCCCGCGTGTGGACCATCCCCAGGGGCATTCAGAGCCCTCCGAGATTCCCAGGCACTTTCTGAGTTTCAGTTTCTCTACCACCCTGCCAAGAGCCCACAAGGGGAAACTACACTGCACTTTTTTCTAGGGGGATTTGGGTGGGCCACACCTAGCAGTGCTCTGGGCTCCTGGCAATGGTTGGGCCTGCTCAAGAAACCATGCAGTGCCATGGCGGGAACCCGGGTCGCCACAAGCAAGCAAGCGCTTTAACCCCTGCAGTATCTCTTTGGTCCCGCATGTGAAGAGTGAGGCTGGCAGTGGGGGGCACCAGGGCTGTTCTTGAGTGGCCGTTTGGTGCTGAACAAACCCTGGCTGCCTGCTGGCCTCGTGGGGCGCCTTGGCAAGAGAGGAAACAGACTCTGGGGTCTGTTCTCAGGGCACAATAAGACTGACCATTAGTGGAGCTTCTGAGCTGCCTCTGACCTGTGCTTGCTCTCTGAGAAGGGCAAACAATGCAGCCCTCAGCAGGCGCTGCAGCGCTTGGCTAACGCCGGGCCAGCATTTGTTACAGCGTTCTGAAGTGGGTCATCAGCAGATTCACAGCAACACAGTGCCAAATATTTGAAGTATCAAGAACAGATGAAAGGCACCGCAGGCCGCTGACAGACACACCAAATAATCCCACACTCTCGACACCCCATTCCTGACATTACTGCCTCCAATGGGGACCCTTTGACATGCCTGGATTCCTCTCTTCAAGCAAAAAATCAGGTGCTTCACCTGAAGCTCACCTCTTGTTTGCCTACTTTCTAGGACTTTCAGAAGTCGATCAAGTGACGTTTGGCGGCGGGTGGGGCAAGGTGGAGCAGATGGAGGAGCCTGGTGATGTTCAGAAATGTTAATTTAGTTCTAGGCAAGGAACAGCCCCAGTGAAGTGTTCTAGAAAGATCTCATCCATAAAAATATCTCCATGTTCGTGTATTTATCTTGAGCCACTTGCCGCAGGCAATCGAGATAGAAATGCTAACTGCTAACAGCAATGGGGGAAACGTTCCCTCTGCGCATACAGGAATTCCACAAGATTGAAAACACATGAACGGTCTGGCACCTCCCCGCTGAGAACGCTGTTCAAGGTTGGGGACAGGACTTCATGACCTCTCAGCTCTCCCACACAGAACCCCAGCCCAGGACCCCCTGCACCTCAACCCCATCACAGAGTAATCTCCCCCCGGAGGCTGGAGATGCTCCGAGAGGGCATCTTCTCAGAGTGGCCGCTGTGCCATCTCTCCAGCCCAACATATAGAGAATCAATTTTTTTTCCCCTTTTTGAGTCACACCCAGCAATGCTCAGGGGTTACTCCTGGCAGTGCTCAGGGGACCATATGGGAAGTTGGGGATCGAACCAGGGTCGGCCGCATGCAAGGCAAACGCCCTACCCGCTGTGCTATCGCTCTGGCCCCCCAACATATAGAGAATTTCACTCTTCATTTATTTTGTTTTTTGGGCCACATCCAGCTGTGCTTAGGAGTTACTCCTGGTGATGCTATGGGATCAAACAGACTGGCTGTGTGCAAGGCAAAGTACTATTGCTTTGGCCCTCAGATTGAGCATTTTCAAATAGTGAATTTTATACTGTGAATTATAAACCCCCATGCCCCCCCCCCAAAAAAAAAGTGAGACAAAAAGACATCACTGGCTCAAGAGGATCTATTCACCAAAGATGGGGCAATTTGAGCCCTGGGAAGAATTATTAGATGATAACACTAGTGGTGATGGTGTCCTCAACAGGGACTATAGAGGCACACAGTGTTTAGAGCAATGCAGCGTGCCAGGAATTGAACCCAGGGCATCAGACATACAAGGCATATGCTCTACCACTTGAGACATATCCCTAGTCCTGAATTACTCCTTTTGAATGATAAGACAGGGACTACAGAGGCACACAGAGGTTAAGTTGTTTGCATCACCAACAGACAAACTTAGTGATACTGCTGAGTTCTCAACAACTTCACTTAAACAGTGTTCTCAACCTGAATGTAATTATGAGATAACGAGGTTTTCTCTTAAGACCACTGCAACAGGCACATCTACATGTAGGAGTAAAAATGCCCTGGGGTTTAATTCATTATTTTTTGTGCTATCTTTGTGAGGTTTGGGGAACTATGTGGTGCTAGGAATCAAATCTGGGCCTTCTGTAAGCACTTAGCCCATTAAGCTATCTCTCTGAACCTGAGATATGTATATTTTAGTTTTTAGGTCATACCCTGCTATGCAAAGGACTTACTCCTGGCTTTGCTCAGGGAACCACATGGGGTGCCAGGGATCAAACTCAGGTTGGCCATGTGCAAGGCAAGTGCCTTCCCTGCTATATTATCTCTCAAGCTCATAATAAAAAATCTGAGGGCTGGGGATGTAGCTCAGCAATGGGGATGCTGAGCATTGGCTTTGCGTCTATGAGGTCCTGTGTTTGATTGCCAGCACTATGAGAATTAACTATCTCTCCAGCCCAGCATAGAATTCTAGTATGATCATTATTTTTTGTTTGTTTGTTTTGGGGATGAGTGTTTCAGCTGAGAGGTGACAAATCGTTGACGTGTTTCCAATCTTGTGAAATTCCTGTGTGTGCAAGGGAACACATTTTCCCTACGGTTAGCAGTTAACATAGTTAACTGTATTAACTATTAATACACACATAGTGGCGTCGGGGATTAAGCTAGGACTGCCCACATGCAAGGCAAACGTTAACCTCTGGCCTAGAATATAATTTTTTTTTCCTTTTTGGTCACACCTGGCGATGTACAGGGGTTACTCGTGGCTTTGAGCTCAGGAATTACTCCTGGCGGTGCTCAGGGGACCATATGGGGTATTGGGAATCGAACCTGGGTCGGCCTCGTGCAAGGCAAACGCCCTACCTGCTGTGCTATCACTCCAGCCCCCCAGAGTATAATTTCTTGAATGTATTTTCCTCTATCCCATTGAAGCCATTGAAGCCAGCAAAAAAGCATTGCAGTATAGTTGCTTTGAAATTCCTCAATGAATTTCCAAGGTTAAAAACCATTTAGCTAAATTCTAGATATCCAAAAAAAAATTCTTTTTTTCTTTTGGGTGTGCCGAAAGTCCAATAGTGCTCAGGGCTTACTCCTGAAGGGGCTCAGGAGGCCATATATGGTGCTGGGGACTGAATCCAGCTTGGCAGCATGAAAGGCAAGCACTTTACCTGCTATATTTTCTGGACCACAATAAAAAATCTAGGGCAGGGGATATAGGTCAGCAATAGGGATATACAGCACTGGCTTTGTATCTATGAGGTCTTATGTTTGGTTGCCAGCACCATAAAAATTAATTAAAGGGAGATAGCACCGTGAGTAGGAAGCTTACTTTGTACATGGCTGACCCTGATTTGATCCCACCAGCTCTTATGGTCACCCAAGCATTGTTAGAAATGATTCCTGAGTGCAGAGCCAGGAGTAACCCCCTGAGTATTGCGAGGTGTGACCCAAAACAAACTAAATAAAATAAAAAATCACAAACCCCACTGCACCTTCTTTATACCTCAAAAGACCATAAAGCTGTGTTTATCAAAATTTCTGATGGTCTGTCTCACAGGAGAGAGGTCAACATTCTTAGCTATATGATCACATACCTGGCTTCACGTGTCTTCAGCGAGATGGTTTGCCATAAAGAAAGTCACCAAAATTGTAAGCAGTTTGGACTCGTGTTTATTGAAGGCAGTAATCAGAGACATCTTCTTTGCCAGCACTAGAAAGCAAGGTTCCTAGGACTGCACACTGGGTACAGTCACACCCCTGGACTAAGGCTGGTGGGGAAATAGTCTGTAGTCCTAATTTTAAGTTAAAAACATGGATAAACTTAGTATAGACATGACAGTGAACTCCCACTTACAGCATCAACATTGTTAAGGTCATGACATACACAGCAGTCACTTTCAATGTGTTAAATTAATAAAACACGGCGTCTTTAGCTTAAATACTGATTTTTAAATGCCAATCCAAAAAGAAAAAAAAGAAGTGCAAACAAACAAAATTAAATAATTCTAGCAGCATACCCGTTGCATTTAGGAAAGACCAATTCGTGGCCCCTTTCACGGTCACTTTAATGTTGGGCTTATTTCTTTGATTTATTTTTTTCATTTCAAAGACAAACAGAAGATGTCACTACTATAATTAATGTACATAGGCATAAAATTGTCTTTAACTGTCTACCACACAAGTGTACTCTGCAAATTAAATGGATTTTACTTTAAAAAGTAAAGGCTGTTTATTGGTTGGCCTTTGGCTCCAATGCTAGAAAAACCCCAATATAACAACAAAGAATATCCTCCCCCCCACCCTCCCCGAAAACACCCTGCAGCTCCCCGAAGATGGTGAACTTTGGCAACCACTGAGCACAGGACATACCGCATCCATTTCTTGACTAGGGGTATCACCTTGTCAGGGAAGGTAAGCTCCAAAAAACCTTCCCTCATAAGATAGGTTAGCATTTCATCAATTTCAGTACATTTCATGTTGACAAAAAAATAAAAGTGCTTATCAGTTTAAATGATAAAAAAAAAAGTAAAATCTGCATAAAAATTTAAAAACCACACTGTATCCCTCTTAGGCACGGGCCTTTCCAAGAACTTTTCCTTACTGGGGCGGGTTCACCCTGTCCCCTCAGCTGCAGAAGACCCATCAGAGTGGCCACAAGCTGTTTGGCATCTGCTGGTCACAACAAAGATACCATTCCGCAATCAGTTTCCGGTCAATACCCGAACACTCTGGTTACTGGAGGCCACAATACATTGGGGGAAAAGAAAACACATAGACAAGGAAACCTCCCCCAACTCAATTCAAAAGGGAGAAGAAAGTTTATCTTTGAAAATAAAACTGGCACCGAAAACATATTTTTCTGTTTTTAAGAAAGGCAAGTCAATACTCTTTCTCCATAACAGTGTTCAGACCTTTACACAAAAGCAATTCAAGACAATGTAGGGTTGTGTTATGTAACAGTAAGTTAGGCTATGCCTGGCCCTATGTTAGTGGTCAGTCAAATCTGATATGTAAAAGCGTTGACACCGGGGAAGTTATTCTCAGACCCAGTATAAATTCATATAAAAAGAATAAATGCCACATAAGTGGACTGTGGTTCCCCCCCATTGGTTTGACAACAAATGTTTTATATATTAAATTCATGGTAGTGTTTGCATTTGAATGTTCTATATCATACATAAAAACTAAAAGTGCCCTTTCAAATCAGTTATCACTTCCGGAACAGTGGCGTGACATGACAACAGGGTTGAATAGGCCTGACTTGGAGACACCTACAACTTAGTCCCACACAAGGAGAAATGCTACATTTCATGAAAAACACAAGAGCAATGTTATTTCCATTTTCAATATAAAACAGTTGACACTTATTTGTCCATCTGATAGCACTGATCAGATCAGGGAGCTAGGATAAGATCCTTTTGCATCAACATAACTAAAGTTCCCCAGACCATAAGGCAGGGACTGGTGCAAGCCAATTAGAGTGCAATCACTGAAAAAAACTTCCCTCCAACTTTCTGTAGCACATTGAGTTATGGTCAAATAAGAGGATGGTTACCACTGTCCATTAATAGGCCAGCCAGTGGCCAGTAAAAAAAAAAATTCATAAAAAAAGAAAAAACAAGAAACAACAAAAAACGAAGCAGAACTACACAATCTGAAGTAAACTAATTTGCAAGTGCTGACTTGCACATGCCACAGTGACTGTCCCATGAAGCACATGCAGGGGGCCCAGGACCTCCCCTGAGGACATAGTCCAGGGACAAGCTGGAGTCCAGGCAGCTGCCATCCCCCCGACCCTGGGCCAGCACCCCATGACTCAGGCACCCCACACTTAACAGCTTTCTCCTCAGTTCAAGATGCACTCAGAAAAAGTCCAATTCCGATTCTCCTTAATGAGTACTTTGAAATGTTTCTGAATTTGTCTTAAGAATGATTCTTCAACTTCTCCTGAACACACAGGATTCAGCACCCCCACCCATCGCCTCCTTCCTCCACTTCCTTCTCTTCTCCTTTCGGCTCCCCCATCATTACTTTGCTCCCTCTCCTTTCAGTCTTTCTCTTTCCTGAACTTTCGGCTACTTAATCTGCTTCCCAAGAACAAGTTAATTTGCTAACACGACACTGGTCACACTAGCCACCACCTGGTCAATGATTTCCGGATCTCACCGACTTTGCCCTCGGAGAGAGCAGACCTCTTCCTTGGGCCACCTCCCTCTACAAGAAGCCCAGCGACACTCACTCCCCACGGCAGCCACATGCCTGAGAGTCCAAGGGTGATCCTTAGCAAAGGGGTCTCACAGGTAACCTTCCTAAATGTGCATTCCACACTTGGACAAGCCAATGAAGTAGTTTTTTTGTTTTTTGTTTTTTGAATTCACTCCCCTGCCCCCAAAAACTGATAGATAGCGTGTGCCATATCAGAAAAATCCTGGTCTTAGCAGATCAATATACATAGTTATTTGGTCATTTTACATATGCACTTTTTAAGGAGGATCAGGCTTCATTATCGGTTGAAGAGTTTGTTACTGTGGAATCTGGTTTTCGAGTCATCCTATCCAATTCTTCCTGAACATTTGTCAACACAGTCTTTTGTCCTAAAAGAAAAAAAGAAGAAAAAAGTAAAAAAAAAAAAAAGTCAGCAATGATGAATAGGAACAACAGGAAACAATTTTTTATATTTACTTTAAAAAATTTCTGGGAGGGCTGGAGTAATAGCACAGCAGGTAGGGCGTTTGCCTTGCATGCGGCCAACCCGGGTTCTATTCCCAGCATCGAATATAGTCCCCTGAGCACCGCCAGGGGTAGTTCCTGAGTACAGAGCCAGGAGTAACCCCTGTGCATTGCTGGACATGACCTTCCAAAAAAAAAATTTCTGGGAATGGGAAGAAGGGTTTAAAAGGAGCTGAGTTCCATTCCTAGCAGTTCATGGGCCCAGGCCACTGTGGGGAGTGGCTCTTGAACCCGACCAAATGCATGGGGGCAGGCTAGGTACATGGCTCAGTGGAGCAGCCTTGAATACTGAATCCTTGGGTTCAATCCCCAAGCAACAATAAAAAAAACTTCTGTGGTCAGAGATAATACAGTAGTTAATGTACTTGACTTGCATGTGGTCAACCCTGGTTTGATCCTTAGCACTACATATGGTCCCTTGGGCCCTGCCAGGAATGACCCTGGAGCAAAGAACCAAGAGTAAGCCATGAGCACTTGGGTGGGTATGCCCCACCCCCAGAAAATGTTTGGGAGAACTGAACTCAAGGCCACATACATGTGGATGAATGTGCTCTACTGCTGATGTACATTCCCCACCCCTTGCCCTCACAACGGAGTTATTAAGGAAACAGTGAAGGGGCCAGATAGTACAGGGTTAAGGTTCTTGCCTTGTATGTGACTGACCCTGGTTTCAGCCCTCGCAGTCCCAAGCAGTAAGCTGGGAGTAGTCATTCAGTACTGCTAGGTGTGGTCCCAAAATAAAACAATGTAAACAAAACAAAGGGAACAATAAAAATACAAAAGACTAGTCGTTTTGTGGTGGTGCTAACCTCCAAAGAATAAAGGCAATCGTTTCTTCACTGCAATGATTATGAGGAGACAGACTGCTGGCTGCACCTGCCTGGAGTAGCCAACTGCCCAACACAACAGGGGGCTTTCTGATCGCCACAACCACCCCACCCTGTCTGTACTTGCACCCGCATTTCCTAGAGGTGGTAAAGGTCCCCTGTTATCTGAAAGGCATCTGGAAAGACTATTATCATAGAAGATATTTCTTTGAGTGTCCTGGACCCAAAAAGTAACCTACCAAACTACACCAAATAGGAATGTACTACTTTCAGATGGTGGTGGTAGGTCTAACTTTGGGCAGGTGGGCAGGCAGCACTATTCTGTGACAAGATGTCTTTAAGCCTGATTCCTATGCGCAGCCTGCAAAGACTGCCCATATGAGTCAGTCCAAGCATTTCAATCATATATAAAGTGTGCTCCTTTTTCTTTCTTTGGCTATGCCCTGGAATGCTCATGGCTTACAACTGGCTCTGCATTCAGGAATTACTCCTGGAAGTGCGCAGGGGACCATATGCATTGTCGGGGATTGACATGGGTTGGCTGCATTCAATGCAAATTCTTTGCCTACTATACCAACTATTCTAGTACTTACCTCCTTTGATGTGGCTGAGAAGTAGGGTGAGAAATGACCCCGACTGCCTGTCAGAGACTACCAGGCTGCAACTTGACTGGAGTGCTCTCCTGGGAGTCATTTGTTTTGGCGGGTGAGGATGGCCAGGGGTGGCAGGGGTTGGGTTTTGGGACCATACCCAGCAAGTACTCAGGGATTACCCCTGGCTCTGTGCTCCAGGTGATGTCAGGGGACCAAAGGCAGTGCCAGGGATTAACCAGAGTTTGCTTCATACAAGGTGAGTTCCTTAATCCAGGTATTATTGCTCTGGCCTTGAGAGATTTTTGAGTAGGAAACACCATTTAGGAAAAAAATTGACTGATATACCTTATAGGCAATGAAAAGTTTTTTCTTTTTTCTTTTTGGGTCACACCCAGCGATGCACAGGGGTTACTCCTGGTACTCCTGGTTCATGCACTCAGGAATTACTCCTGGCTGTGCTGTGGGGACCATAAGGGATGCTGGGAATCGAACCAGGGTCAGGATGTGTGCAAGGTAAACGCCCTACCCGCTGTACTATCACTCCAGCCCTAGGCAATGAAAAGTTAAAACCATGGAGCCTTAAAAATAATTTTAAGTTGGGCCAGAATGACAATACAGGGGTTAAGGTTACAAAAATCAAATGAAACGGGCCGAAGTGATAGTACAGCAGGTAGATCATTTGCCTTGCAAGCGGCCGACCCAGGTTCAATCTCTGGCATCCGATATGGTCCCCCAGCATGGCCAGGAGTAATTCCTGAGTGCAGAGCCAGGAGTAACCCCTGAGCATCGCTGGGTGTGACCCAAAAAGAAAAAAAAATGAAAAAAACCCCCAAACAAACAAACAAAACAACCCAAAAAAACCCAAAGATAACAAAAGCCATTAAGAAAAAAAAGGAAGAAAAAATAAAAAGCTCATGCTAACTGGGAAAATACATAATTCCCAAGGAACTTGACTATTCTGTCTTAAGGGATCTCCAAGATCTAGACCTGTCCTAGCTGCTCATGTGAAAGAATAGAGGGTACACAGAAAGACACATGACGAAGAGGGAACTTCTGGGAAGAAATGATGACTCTCCAGTCAAAAAAAGGTCAACAGGTTCACAGTAAGACATGGGACAGTGAAATGAACAAAGATCAGTAACAAGATGTCTGGAGCAATATTACTGGGGCTAGAGTGCTTGTCTTGCACACAGCCAACTAGGTTCCACCCCCAGTATTCCGTATGGTCCCCTGAGCCCACCAGAAGTGATTCCTGAGTATAGAGCCAGGAGCAACCAAGTATTGCTGAATGTGGGCTGGGAGATGGCCCAAAGATCTAGAGCTCATGCAAAGCATGCAGCAGTCTGGGGTTTGATCCCTGATACCACATGTGCCCCCACCACTGCTGGGTGTATACTCCTTCCAAGTTCTTATAAATTACCACAGAAAAAGAAATGTTAATGATATACATGACCTTGAATGGAGAAAACTTCAGCAGGACCATGTACCTGGGTTAAAATATACCCCAGTGGATGCAAAAGAATCTTGGATCTGAGCAGCTCGCTGCAGAGATGCCTCTGGACTTTAAGCTAGGCCGATTTCACCAGGGTGTCTCGAAAGGGAGCAGGTATTGTTCCTCCACCTGCCCCCAAAGAATCCCGGTGGTTGCCAAATTCCAGAACCCAATGAGAAGCACAGATACGTGGATTCAGTAAGGGCAAACTCCAGGCCTCAAAGGATAGGAGATGGGCCGGTCCCTCTAATCTCCTTCTCCCTATGGAACCCTGGAGATCATGCCCATGAACTACATCTGGCTGCTATTTAAGCTCCTTAACTGCCATAATTCAGAGGCACACAAAAAAAAGAATCTTGGAACCAAGCAGTTCGCTGCAGACATTTCTCCAGACCCTAATTATCTAAAATTTTAGAATTCCAGAAGTGTGCAGTGGCTTCTGTGACCATGCGACATTTTATGCTACTCATAATAAGCAATACAAAATACAATATCTAGTATTTGCCTTTTCTGCACGTTTGAGTGGTGGCGGGAAAATTCAAAATAATGGTGGTGGGACTGGTGTCAAAATATTGAATGTAATCCATTACTATGAAAATGCTGGAGTGATAGCACAGCGGTAGGGCGTTTGTGCCCCCACCACTGCTGGGTGTATACCCCTTCCAAGTTCTTATAAATTACCACAGAAAAAGAATATTTTGACTGGTGTCAAAATATTGAATGTAATCCATTACTATGAAAATGCTGGAGCGATAGCACAGCGGTAGGGCGTTTGCCTTACAAGCGGCCAACATGGCCGACCCGAGTTCGATTCCTTCGCCCCTCTCAGAGAGCCCGGCAAGCTACCGAGAGTATCTCGCCCGCACGGCAGAGCCTGGCAAGCTACCCGTGACGTATTCGATATGCCAAACACAGTAACAACAAAGTCTCCAATGGAGACGTTACTGGGCCCACTCGAGCAAATCGATGAACAACGGGAGGACTGTGACCGTGACTATGAAAATAAATTTTTAAAAAATTAAAAAAAAAGGATACGGCTAAAAAATATATTTAATATTATTATATTTCAGCTCACACAACTACATTTCTGAGAACATGAATGGACCTAAATCCTATGTTCCACAGGCCACAGACAGCTGTGTGGCAACCCCATTGCAGGGTATGGCTCAGTGGAGAGTGGCAAAGTGTCTCTTGCTTGACTGTACAAGAAAGAAGTCTGTGTGGGAGGGTCCGGTGTTCACCTCCCACTACTGACCAACCGCCCAGCCACATGGGCCCCTCAGTACCTGACTTCTTGGCTGAGTTCTGTACTCCACCAGCACCCGGACTCCCAGGGGAGCCTGTTTTTTTACTCAATAAGCTGTTGAAGAAGCTGGCCAACACCCCTTCACTTGCTGCGTTATCTAAAGAGACAGTAAGGGGGGAAAAGCATCAAATAAACTGTACGACTTAGATAAAGAAGACCCCCAATTTTCTTTCAGCTTAGAATGACCCATTTGTGGCAATCGTCAATTAAACACAGTTATTCAATGGGATTCTTTTTACATCATCACTGCAGAGGCCAATTAGGTGTTATCACCATTGACTGGAATCTACACAGCCTGCCTGAGGTCTCGCACACAGCCAGGTGTGAGGGCCTCCAACTCCAAGGAAGGTCAAGCATTGATCTCTGCCACCCACGAGCCCCCAGATGGGGAGTTGGGAGCAGCCTTTCTTGAGGAGAAACCCAGCTCCCCTGAGAGTCCTCCTTCCAACCCAACCCAGCCCACCCCCAGGCCCTACACCTAACCTAGACCGCTCTCCAGAGGCAGGATACATACTTTTGATGTTGGGGTCCGGTTTCTTTACTGATGTGCCTGGGGAGGCACTAGGCACACTGGCTGGCCCTCCCCGGCCCTGGGTTCGTGGAGAGCCAGAGGGTCCTCTTGCTGGAGATTCCTAAGTGCAAAAAAAGCCCAAGTCATACAAATGCATTAAAATAACAGGAGACACCCACTCCAAATAGACAACCTAACTACTGTGTGAAAGCTCTTGGTCTGGGAGCAGGTGGCAGGAACAGGAGTTTGCTTCAAGCTGGGTCCTTTTCTAGAGCTCAGTTTCTCTAAAGACATAGCAAGATCACAAAACCTGCTCACTCTCATTCCCAGAGCTGCATTCCTTCATCCTTCAGACATTTCCTGATTTCCTATTACATTCTTGACACTAGACCTTTTCGGAGACGAAGTTCCCTTTGAAATACCGAAGTCCACACAAACACAAACTCTCACAAATAAGGGTATAAAGTCTGAAGACACCCATGACACGGGGCCTTTACCCTGTTTAGTTTAAGGTACTCACGGAGGCTCTCGTGGGCGTGGCTGGCTGCTTGGCAAGGAGTGACTGCAAAGAGAGGGACACACTGGCCATTAACCAAGGCCTGTAAAGTGCACTAACGGTCTGGAGAAGCGCTTACTTCCAAGAATTCCACTAGAGGGCACCATTAACAACCACCAAGTCAGTCACAGGTTTTAAACTATAAACACAAAAAACTGAAATTGAGCAATATGGTAGGTATATGGTTAAAAACAAAAAGACAAACACCTCCAAGTGACCAGTACAGAAGGAGGAAAGGCTGGCAAGAGAACTGTCCACACACCTCCTGCGGCCCTGCCTGCACTCTAAGACGACAGCCGGGGCACGCAGAGGAGACTGGACTGGCACTCCAGCCAGCGTGCGAAAGGGGCCTCTTCGCCTACTGCATAGACGCAACAGTCACCAACAACATCCTGCAAAGGGCTCTGGGAACTGTGCTGGACAAAGGGAGGAAGGCTGGGCTACTCGGTAAGCTCAACACGGGAAATATGCCAGAAGAGAACATGTCCAGAGAAGGGGGACCTCAGGAAGACAGAGCTGGGGAGAACTCTGCAAAGCAGACTGGGAGTTCCAGAGGCAGGTCCAGCTCCAACCATTAGGCAATCCTAGGCACAGGCGGGCACAGGAGAGGCCTGGCCAAGACCCTAACGCAGCACGGTCTGCGACAGCCCAGGAGACTGGCAAACAATGTGTATGAGGCCTGCTCTGGCCTCCCGGGGTCTCTTACCTGTTGCTTCATCAGAAACACCTGCTCATCTTCTGCTGCCAACTCTTTCTCATGGACTAACTGTAAAGCGAAAACAACATTCGCTTATGGTTACAGACCAAGAACCTCACATTATTAAATCCAGGGTGAAAGGATGAAATCTTGGGGGCCTCTCAACCTGGCTCTAGAGGGCACAGCCCTGCCCGATCAGCAGTTAAGCTTTTCCCTCCCCGCTTTCCTCCTTTCTATCAAAGTTAAGCTTTCCTTGTCTGGTGCTGACCCTCTTCCAAGACCACTTTTGGCCTATGACCAACTGCCATTTTCAAGTCTGGCATTTTCAAGTTCTGCAGGCCTGCAGAGGACAGGAGCAAGGGGAGAGACTAACAGCAACCCGGAGGCAATGGTGGCAAATGGGAAACCCCACCCAGCACACGGCACTCTGGCTTCAAGCCACTGCATTAACATAGTCCAGATGACTTCAAAATAAGTTTCATAAAGGCCCTTGGATACGCTTAAAAAAAAAGGGGGGGGGGCTGGAGTGATAGCACAGCGGGTAGGGCATTTGCTTTGCACGCGGCCGGCCCGGGTTCGATTCCCAGCATCCCATATGCTCCCCTGAGCACTGCCAGTAGTGATTCCTGAGTGCAAAGCCAGGAGTAACCCCTGAGCATCGCCAGGTGTGACCCGAAAAGAAAAAAAAAAACCAAAAAAAACAACCCAAACCAGTGCAATGTGCAAGACCTGCTGCTTTTAATTAGGGGATGGGGGAAGTGGGGAGGGGTGGTCACACCTGGCGATGCTCAGGGGTTACTCCTGGCCCTCGGGGATGCTGGGGATCGAGTCAGGGTCAGCGATGTGCAAGGCACACAGCCTTCCCCACTGTACTCCAGCTCAGGCCCCAAAACCTCCTTCTTTACAGGCTTCTTTCCCATTACAAAAGCGACAACTCTGAAAGAGAGGGTCTGGGTACCTTTCTCACAGGAGGCTTCACAATAAAGTCTTCGTATGTATCTTCTGGTTTCACAGTTGTGAAATTTTCATGTAAAATAGCTACTTTCTTCTCATTGTCCCAGCCTGCAGGTCTGAAGGCAAGGAGACAGGGATTACCTTACTGGTCCCAGGGCTCTTCCGCTCAGGGCACATTCTGGGTCAGGGAGGTACCCTGTAGATACAGGCTGGCGTGTCACTTCAGCAGATAAGCTAGCACCTAATTCAGGCCTTGGCCCTTCGAGTAGCACCCCAAGTCCCGCTTCCTACCAAACTCCTGGGGAGCAGTGCAGGAAGTCAGGACTATCTCCTGCTGACTCCACACGTGGGCTGGCAGGAAGCGGTCAGTCCACCTGGAGGCGCAGGGCCCAGCAGGGGTCTGTCCTAACAGGGGGAAGATGCACAGAAGCAAGCAGAGAACTCAGGATGAAATGCTTCCTCCTGGCTGATGGGGCAGAGGCCACCTCCCTTTTCTAACGAGCCTGCTTGAACACGGATACAACCATTTTGCAACGTACTGGATGTACTCTGGGGCCAAGGGGGTTCCAGGAGCTGTGTCAATCCTGGGCCCCCAACCACAGTGACACGAGATCCATGAAGGATCAATGTCCTCCACAGGGCAGGCCAGCACGAAGTCCCATTAAGTTAATCGGCAGTCTGACTCCAGGATATCTTCAGGGAGCAACTGGGAAATGCCCAACACTTCACCTCTGGAAAGTACTAAACTCAGGTCACTCGGGTGGGATCAGGGTGCCAAGGATCAAACCAGGGTCAGCTACATGTGAGGAAAGTGCCCTATCCACTGCACTGTCTCTCCTATCGCAGGTTTCTCTGGTCCCTGGCAAAAATGCTTACAAGTACTCTTCTGGTACCTCTAACAGCCTGGACTTTTTTTCTATTGAGTGTGTGTTGTGTTTTAGTTTCCATGTTTTACTTTGGGAGTCAGTGGGGCTGACTGTCCTGGGTAGACTCAGATACCTGAGTTTGTATTACTTCTCTTGCTGGAAAAGGGTGAATGTTTAGAACACACAGATAAAGGATGCCCTGTGGTCTCTGTGTTGACCCTGTGAGACTCAAGCGATGCTTGGGCTCTAACATCCTTCCCCTTAAAAGAGAATTTCAGTTGGGCTAGGGATGTGGCTCAGTTGCTAAGCACTCGCCTCACATGGAAAGTGAGCAATGGCCTGAGTTCAATTTTCAGAGCACCACCTGGCACCCAAAATCTGAACCAAGTGAATTAGGATTGTCCATTCAACAGAAACTGAGAGACACCTGTGCTTCAACAGACGCTACTGGGGATCTCCAAAGCATTATTCTTGACACTTCCGCTTCCTCCCAATGCTTCAACCGAAGACACTGGGATCCTCCAAGCAGTCTGCTACACTTCCACTTCTTCCCCAGCCAGTTTTCTAGCAAGCTGGCTGAACAAGCGAGAAGAGTTGGCTCGCTCATGTTTTGCCAAACTTTTCTCAATGAAGGCAGTGCCTAACCTCCTCCCACCCTGTTTCTTCACCTGGAGGGAGAAAAGTCATCAACCTGGAAAGGAGCAAGAGAGGAAAGCTGAGTGCATGTATCACTAGGAAGCCCTGCACAAGCTGAACCATCTTATTAGGAGGGATAAAATATAAAAAGCAAATGTGTCATAAAGATAAGAGTCTGAACGTATCGCCAATGAAAACTCACATAAAAACTGCATCCTTTTCCACAACTAAGGCAGGTGTGGCAAAGTGGAAACCGTACGTTTTATGAACAATGTACTTATACAACAAGTCCAGGTTTTTCTCTTCCTTCACTGATGTGTAAATCAAGGCAGCTCCATCTAATCAATCTGCTTAAGGAAAACCACTGCAGGAGGAGACACAACATACATACAAACACAACCTGTAAGTACAACTCGATACACAATAAATATTAAGAGTTAAAAACTTAAATCCAAAAGATTAAATACATGACAGAGTTGAAAGTTTAAATCTAAAAAAGTAATAGTAGTCGAAGATCAGGTCAAAAGCATAGAACATGTAGTTCGTTTAAAAATATGTAAAGGCTTGACTGATAGTACAACAGGTAGAATGTTTGCCTTGCATGCGGCTGACCCTGGTTCAATCCCCAGCATCCCATATGGTCCCCCGAGCACCGCCAGAAATGGTTCCTGAGTGCAAAGCCAGGAGTAACCACTGTGCATCACTGGGTGTGACCCAAAAAGGAAAAATAAAAATATGTAGGGGCTGGAGCAATAGCCTAGTGGGTAGGGCATTTGCCTTGCACGTGGCTGACCCGGGTTCAATTCCCAGCATCCCATATGGTCCCCTGAGCACCACCAGAGGTAATTCCTGAGTGTAAAGCCAGGAGTAACCTCTGTGCATCGCTGGGTGTGACCCAAAAAGCAATAAATAAATAATAATAAATAAAAATAAGTAAATGGTTGTCTTGACCTTGACCGTAAGCTGTTACCCCAAACAGTTGATGGCTCAAAGGCTAGCCCAGAAAAAGAGCCTCAGAATATGCAAACTGCCTGGATTCCTTCCCAAGCATGTGCTCATGTGGGATTAAATTGATCACGGAGCATGCCTTTCCTGAGACATAAGAACCTACAGATATGAGGACCCTCAATTAGACTGGACAAGCTAAAAACTTCAAAGGAAGTGATGGGAACTCACTAGAGGACGTATGACTTCAAGTACTAAGACAGTAACACAAAGCACCTCTCTGTGAATGGCTAAAACACCAACATATAGGGAATGGTCCTCTGAAAGATACATTTACAATTAGCCATTTTTGGGGGCAAAAATACGAAGTTTAAAAGGTTTCCAAGGAGCAGAGAGATAAGGCAGGTGAGGTGCTGCCTTGCACGTGGCTGACTCAAGATCAATCCAGGTCTCCCAAGTTCCACCAGGAGTGATCCCTAAGCAAGAGTCACAAGTAAGCAAGTAAGCCCTAAGCACAGCTGGCGTGGTCCCCAAATAAAAATAAAAAGGTTTCCAGGTAGGACAGGGGTTAAGCAAAGTGCCACACATGCAGTAATCCCAGGTTTGACCCCTAGCAGATGATTCCCCACCAAGGACCACCGGGTGTGGACCTAGAGGTCCCCCCAAAATCTCTGGCACCAGAGGGCCCAACCAGCATATCCAGACCTCTGCATTGAACCACTAGCTGGTTGTGCAAGACTCACTGGGAGGTCCCCAGGGCTCCTGAGCAGTGTTTGGGAGGCATCCCTGCTCAAAATTTTTTTTTCAAGGTAGGAACAAATAGTCATCAGTTTTCTTTTTTACTTTGGTAGCATTTCAAATATACAGCATTTAAAACTAGTAATAAAAATGAAAAAACGGTCTAGAGAGTTCAGCAGGTAAGGAACTTGCTGTGTTCATACCTGACCCAGGTTTGATCCCCAGCACCGCATATGGTCCCCTGAAACTCATCAGGAGCGACTCCTGAGTGCAGAGCCAGGAGTAAACCCTGAGCACAGCCAGGTATGGACAGCCAAAACCCTGCCCACCTCCCTCCCAAAAAGAAGGAAAATAAAAGATCAAAGTAGACACAAGTTACTAAGTCTAAAATTCCAACAAAGTAAAAAAGTAGTAAAGACAATTTCTCCCTGGCAGAAAACTATTTTGAGTTCAGGAAGTACTTGCACTTTTTGTGAAAGATGCTCCATTTGGAGCGAAGCCAGGATTAATATGAAGAGAGGGGAGCCTGGGAGCCCAGCCCAACACACGCCACAAGGATACACTGGAGGCAGAACCTCCGAAGGTGTGACTGGATGAAGTCAAAGTGCTCCTCCCTGTAATCGTGCTCCTTCTCCAGGACACTCACCGCATCACACTGCAGGGAAGACAAAAAGAAATGAATCAACTTTTTGCATTTGTTTGATGAGGGTGGAAGGAGCATCTTCTTCAGGAAATAGGTATTGCTCCCAGGAAGCTAGAGCCAAAGACCCAAACATTAATTACATAAACATGGAGGAAAAGCAAAGGGAGTTCCCACCCCCCCCTCCATTCTAGGTCTCTTTTCTTATCTGTAAAGTGGGAGTATAAGAGACTTGACCACCTCCCACAGTCACATCAGAAACAGCCACTGGACATGACAGTCTACTGCCTGCATTTCAGGCCTCCATTCTTAGAGATGGGAAGGGTCACCCTACAGCTGGGCACACCATGGCTTGGATTAGGAATCAAGTACGTCTGAAACCCCAAATGTTTTAAAACATTTTCAAAATGTTTTTTATTTACTTATTTTTTTCACATAACATACACAAATTCATTTCTCTGACAGAACGTGGATTCCCATCTCATGTCTACAGGAAAGAAGAATCTTAAGCTTTGAGTTCTATTTTTTTCTTTTATTTTTATTATTATTTTTTTTTTTTTTGCTTTTTGGGTCACGCCCGGCGATGCACAGGGGTTACTCCTGGCTCTGCACTCAGGAATTACCTCTGGCGGTGCTCGGGGGACCATATGGGATGCTGGGAATCGAACCCGGGTTGGCCGCGTGCAAGGCAAACGCCCTACCTGCTTTGCTATTGCTCTAGCCCCTTCTTTTAAAATTTTTAATTTTGCTTTTGCACCACACCCAACGGTGCTTAGGGCTTACATAGTCCTGGGTCTGTGCTGAGGGATCACTCTAGCAGGGCCTAGGGAGAGCACAGGGGTTGCTGGAAAGTGAATCTAGGTTGGTCAGGTGCAAGGCAAGCTCCCTACCCACTGTACTCTCTCCAGCTCATTTTTCAAGGTTCCTTTCTGAAAAGGAATAGCAAGCTTTAGAGATCAAAGCCAAAATAATCTCATAATAACAGAATTCCTTTATGCTACCAGCTTGAAAAGTAACTGTTTTATACAGCCTTAAGAATTCACATGGACTGGAGAGACAATATAGGGTTAAAGGCACTTGCCTAGTCCAATCCCTGGCACTGAATTTGGTCCTCAAACACCATCAGGAATAGACTCCTGATCAGAGAGCCAGGAGCACTGCCAGATTTGGGCCCCAAGCTCAAACCACCTCATTCACTTTCCACACCCCTCAAAAAACTGTCTTGGACTAGGGATATGCTTTAAGTAGTAGAGGATATGTGTTGAATGTGTGAGGCCCTGGGTTCTATCACCAGCACTGAGCAAAAAAAAAAAAAAAAAAAAAAAAAAAAAAAAAAAAATCGCTCCTAATTCTGAGTTTGAATCACTCAATGAAAATCACCCAGGGCATCAGTAAACTGATCACCCCATGTTATCAACAGTGATAATAAATAACAATATTTTCTATCCTAACACACTCAATGTACCTTAATGAATCTGAATTAAGCTCAATTTTCAATAAACCCAACTCAGGAAGTCTTTGGAAGGTACCTAATCCAAGCTTTTTACACTTTCAGAATTTGAGTGTTCACAGCCAAACCCAGCCAAGCCCACAATGCCGTGGCACACACCTTTGTGCACACTACCAACACAGGAATCCCCAGGTTATGTGTTAGCACACTGTCACCGAGAGGCAGGGCTACGTTTTCCTCGTCAGGTCCTGAGGCGAGAGGGCCCCTTCTCTGTGGGGAACCTTGACAACCTTCTTCAGGTTCAATATAGTCTTGAAAATCTTTCATATCTATAGAATGAAAAAGAAAATCCACATTCACACAAATATAAATATATATATGCAAGATTTAAACACTAAGCAGGCAATAGCAAGCCCCAAACACACTTTCCTATCACATTCTAATGCAATACAAGCATGTAAACTGGTAATGCAAAATGTCAGCTGTCGGACACTTGAGTAACATGGTTGGAGAGACAGAACATGACTGCTTCAGCCACGAGCCTGATTCCATCCCTAGATCCACATGTGTTCCCCTGAACCCCAAGCCAAGAACAGTTCTTAAGCTCTATTAGGTGTAGCACCAAAATCAGAAGACAGAAAAATCAAACGAACAAAACCAACCAACCGACTTCAGAGCAACCAAGATAGCTTCAATCATATTCGTCTCTTAGATTGGGGAGGGGGGTGGTGGGCGGTCGGGGGGGGGGGGGTAAGGGACCCTCTAATAATGCCCTGGAACAGTACCTCTGATCATCCAGCACCACACACAGCAGCAATCTGAGCTATCGTCCTGGTCCTCTACACACAGGTATAAAGAACTCAATGGATTCAAGAGTTCCTTCTATAAAAATGTTATTTTTCTTATGTACCTTACAAAGTCTTCTGCCTCAGCACTAGGCTTTCGTCACCGGAGCTCCTCGGAGGGGGTTGGGTTGAGTTTCCCTCCCCGGCCCGAGCAGAGCCCCGGCAGCCGAAGACCTCTGGAACCCAGCCACAGCCATGCTCAAGGCCGCTCTTCACACACTCTGTCGAGCCTCATGCACGAAGGAACTGGCAGAGGAACCCAGGTGTGTGGGACCTGGGGCTGAGATCTCCAAGCCTGCTCGGATCGGGACTGGGCTTCCTCCACCCAGATCCCCCACTTCCCAGTAGTTAGGCAGTCACACTCACAAAGTGCCCCTGGCGCCATGCAATCCCATCAACAGCCAAGATCCAGAGACTATAAAACAAAGCTCTCGGAAGAGAGCGATGCAGTTTTTCCCTCTTGGAGAGCCCGGCAAGCTACCGAGAGTATCCTGCCCACACAACAGAGTGTGGAAAGCACCCCGTGGCGTATTCGATATGTCAAAAACAGTAACAATAATGGGTCTCATTCCCCTGACCCTGAAAGAACCTCCAATGCGGCACTGTTGGGAAGGATGAGTAAAGAGGCTGCTAAAATCTCAGGGATAGGACAAATGAAGATGTTACTGGTGCCCGCTCAGGCAAATTGATGAACATCGGGATGACAGTGATACCATGATGTATCTTACATATTCAAAATAGAAGAATAATGGAACTGTTACCACACAGAGATAACTAAAAATAGATGTAACTTGTGAAATGCAAGAAATAGCACATCAGAAATATTCAGTAAAACTGTAATTATCTGAACTCTTTTTTCCCTCCTTTTTTATGGAGGGGCTCCCATACAATGCTCAGTGGACTTGGGAGCCATTACCAGTAATACTTGACCACCAGAGCTGGATGATTCAACATGCAATATGCTGCTAGGTTTGAACTCAGGTGAGTAAGGCACGTCCCCTGACTGGAGCTGGCCACACACCACCTGAACTCTCACAAGAACACGCTGCTTCTACACAGCCGAGTTATGTAAGCACTGAGGAGTGAGGCTAGATCCAGACAGCAAGATCTGGGTTTGCACATAATCCTTATTCTTGTGAATGCAGTCTTAGCTGTGGGGAACCCTGAATCACAAGTGCAGTCCATAGAGTTGTTCTTGTCTAACATAAAAACGGTCAGTGGTACAATGTCCCCTTTTCGACACATCCTTCAGCCAAGGGCACAATTCCCAGGAGGGCGCTCAAGCTGAAAGTGGTGCATGCGTTTGGTTAAGAGTCCTCATGACCCAGTGTGCTGCACTTGGCAGCATTCAAGTATGCGAGGTATGAACGTATCTGGGAAGTTCTGGGTTAGATTTTTCACTGTCTAAAGATGACTTAGGGGCCAGAGAAAATGCATGGAAGTCAGGTTCTTGCCTTGCATGGGGCCAACCTCAGTTTGATCACTGGCACCATGTGGTCTCCTGCGTACTATCAGGAGAAACCCCAAGCACAGAGCTGGGTATGGATTTAAACCAATCCCCAAACCCTTCCTCCCAAAAAAGGAGAAATAAATGACTTAATCATGCCTATCCTACAATACTAATGCGGGTATGGTGCCGCCAGCAGGTCAGTCTGTACCTGCGGGGCCAGTGCATCAGCAGCCTGATGGTGCCTTAAGTCTTCCTGATACTCCAAAATTGCTGCTGTGCAATTTGGCTGGACCCAACAACTTGGGACCAAGTTTATCAAGAAATTAAATGGCCAAAAGTTAGGTATGTGGGAGTCACGTCCACAAACCACCTACGGCTCATTTATTGGCCTTATTTCAGAGACCCATGAATCTCGAAAAAGATCAAAAGTTGCAGTTAACCCTGGACCTGCACATGGCTGAACAGACTTGGGTAAATTGGGGGAGGGGGTGGCAGGTTGGCCAAGACCCCCCCCCAACCCCCTGGCAACCGCTTGCTTCCACAATCCAAAATCTCTACCATACCCCTCACCTGATTCCACCATCTCAGGACAGACCTCACCAAGATATAATCTGCTGAAAATTCAGGTATGCGGGTGCTGTGACTGAAATCTCCAGGCTTTCTTGGGATCAGGATGGACTACCTCCCCCCACCTCCCTATATTTCCAGAAGCCTTGGTAGTCACATCCACAACCCAAAGCAGTCACCCAACTGAAAAGCTACTCCAGCCTTACCATCCCAATAAAAACACCAAATTGCCTTTTGAACAAACACCATAACCTCTTAGCATTGTATTGCAAGCCATAATGAACAAAAGGAAAAGGAGAGAGCAAGAAGGAAAAGTGCCTCCCATAGAGGGAGGCTGAGGGAGAGGGGTTGGGGTGTTGGGGGATGGTGGTAGGGAAACAGGGGGCATTGGTGATGGGAAACGTACACTGTTGGAGGAATGGGTGCTAGATCATTGTATGAGTGAAACCCAATAATGAACAGCTTTGTAATGTTCTATCTCACCAATATTCAATTAAAATAAATTTAGAAAAAGTAATGTGGAGTTCATGCCCAATTCAATCAGCTTAATCAATGGCTAAATAAATAGTAGTACTCCTACATGAAAAAAAAGTAATAAGGAAGCTCACTTAAAAGAAAACACACAGATCAAAACAACAATGAGATATCATTTCACACCACAGAGACTGGCTCACATCCAAAAGAACAAAAGCAACCGGTGCTGGCACAGATGTGGCGAGAAAGGGACCCTCCTTCACTACTGGTGAGAATGCCGACAGGTTCAGCCCTTTTGGAAAACAGTACGAATGATTCTCAAAAAATTAGAAATTGAGCTCCCATTCCCAATAGCACTCCTGGGAATATATCCCAGAGAAGCAAAAAAGTATAGTCGAAGTGACCTCTGCACTTGTTTGTTCATTGCAGCACTCTTTACAATAGCCAGAATCTGGAAAAAACCTGAGTGCCTGAGAACAGATGACTGGTTACAGAAACTTTGGTACATCTGCACAGTGGAGTACTATGTAGCTGTTAGAAAAGATGAAGTCATGAAATTTACATACAAGTGGTACTATATGGAAAGTATCACGTTAAGCGAAATGAGTCAGAAAGAGAGGGATAGACATAGAAAGATTGCATTCATCTGGGGAACATAAAGTAACAAAATAGGAGACTAACACCCAACAGTGGCTGAGATTAGTACCAGGAATTTTGCTCCATGGCTTGGAGGCCAGCCACACATGCTAGGGGAAAAGGGAACTCAGAGAAGGGAGCACCAAATAAAGGGTGTTGGGAGGATCCTCCCAGGATGGGAGAAGCATGCTGAAAGTAGACTATAGACCAAACACGATTGCCACTCAATGCCTCTTTTGCAAACCACAACACCCAAAAGGAGAGAGAGAACAAAAGGGAATGCCCTGCCACAAAGGCAGGGTGGAATGGGAGGGATGGGGGGGTGGGAGGGATACTGGGACCTGTGGTGGTGGAAAATGGGCACTGGTGGAGGGATGGGTACTTGATCATTGTATAACTGAAACCCAAGCACAAAAATTTGTAAGTCTACAACTGTACCTCATGGTGTTTCACTAATAAAAATTTAAAAAAAAACACAACACGAAACGCAGCATTTTAGAAAATAACATTTAGTGAAAAACGAGGATCAAAACCAAATGCAGGGGCTGGAGTGATAGTACAGCGAGTAGGGCGTTTGCCTTGCATGTGGCCGACCAGGGCTCAATTCCCAGCATCCCATACGGTCCCCTGAGCACCACCAGGACTAATTCTTGAGTGCAAAGCCAGGAGTAACCCGTGACCCAAAATACAAACAAACAAACAAACACACAAACAAAACCCAAATGCAGACTGTGGTGTGTAGCACAAATACTAAACGTGCACAACCCTCAGCAGACACATCCATACTTTCGTCATGTTCATCTAGAGAGTAGGACCTTATGCAGGGACCATCAGCCCTTCTAGCATCAGATCAGAGCAGTACCAGAGGAAGGAAAGCTAAGTCTCTTCACTGTAGCCTCTTTCTCATCATTCCTTCCCATCTCAGCAGTCACCCACTGGCTGCACATTCCTGAGAAGGCCCTAGAGGCAGCAGCTCATCTTTACCCTCTATATAAGCATTAAGTCCCAGAACAGAGGCAGGAATAACAAAACCAACCTTTACTCCAGCACCCCCTTCTGGCAGTACTGGCGGTTGCTTTGCCTACACCAGCTGCCTCAACTCTCACCAGTGGATCCAGCAGCTGAGCAGCTGCCACAGGCTCAGTGCTCTGGCAAATATGAGCCTGAAGGAATACCCTCCACCCCCCCGCCCCGGGTGAGGCCTCTCATGCAGTGGCTCTCAACGCAGCAGGCTAATGGCGGAATCGGACTGGAGACTAGCTGGGTAACCGGTCTTGACTCTCACTCTGTAACTAGAGCCTGCTGTATCTGGAGAGCGGAGGCCTCTGAGGAAGAGGCTGGCCACTGCCTTATTAAAAGCCTGGACAAAGACTCTCCTACAATCTGCAACACAAAGGTGACTGCCATTTCAAAGCACCACTCCTTTCCTGAGGCAGCGTGGTAAAAACTAGAGGCCCCTGAGGAACAGAGGAACAAGCATGTAGTTCTAGCACTTGCTGGATGCCCACCAGCCCCCTCTCCCTCGCCTCCCTCCGCTAACCAAGCCAAGCTGGCCCTCGGAATACTTGGTCACACAACCACATCTGCAGTCTCCTCAGAAGAAGGCACCACCTGTCCTTCTCCCTCCGTTCTTTCTTCTTCCTCCCTGCTGCTGCCAGGACCGGAAGCTGAAGGCTAGAGCTCCAGTTGGCAAGAGGAAGAGCACCACGCCCTTGATGGGGAGAGGACGGGACAGGAAGCAGCAAGGAGCCTTGAGCGGTCCTCCTGGAGCTGCTTTCCAGGCTGAAGCGCCTCCCTGAGGATTTCACTCATACCTCAGTCCTGAGCAAGCCAACCATTTCAGTTTTGCGTCACATGCCCACTCTCACCCTAAGTGACACAGACACCAATGGCGAAGACCACAAAATAAATCAGTATGTCACGGGAATACAAGCTTCCCAGGGGCATGTGCTCTGTCTGTGGCACTGTTCTCAAAGACTAGACTAGAGCCTGATGTAGGAAAGACATGTGCCTGGTCTGGGAGAGAACAATATCCATAGTACGAGTCTCTCTCTCTTCTCTCCTCAAGGATACTCTTGGCATTGCTCGAGGACCATATGTGGTACTGGGGATTGAAACAGGGTTGTCCAGGGCTGGGGCAATAGTATAGGTAGGGTGTTTGCTTTGCACGTGGCTGATCGGGTGCGATCCCCAGCATCCCATAAGGTGCCTGGAGCACCACCGGGAGTAACCTAAGAGCAGAGCCAGGAGGAACCTCTGAGCATCGCTGGGTGTGAGCCACCCCCCACCTCCCCCAAAAAAAGAAAAGAGTTGTCCTCACACAAGGCAAGTCCCTTCTCCACTTTTACTTTCTCTCCATCTTCACTTATTTTTGGGTTTTAGGCCATACCTGATGATGCTCAGGAGCTACTCCCAGCTTAGTACTTGCAGGGTCACTTCTGGTGGTGCTGGGGACTGAACTGGGTCAAACATATACGCTAGCCTTTTGAGCTACTTCTCCAGCCTACCATTTCTTTTATTCAGTTTTCTCAATTTGGGGGGCTTATTTCGGGGCCGCACCCAACAGTGCTCAGGGCTTACTCCTGGCTCTGCACTCAGGGATCATTCCTGGTGGGCTCCGGGGAACACATGAAATGCCAAACTGGGTTGGCTGCATGCAACCAAAAATGCTGCAGTACTGCTCCAGCACTTCTCAAATTTTAAAAATAAGGTTGTACTGTAAAAAAACAGGTTCAGAAGCTGAAATCTCCACTCATCCACTAATCTGGGTCTGATGTTTAAACGTACAGTGGGAGAAAAACAGCTCTTGAGTCTCAGAACTATTCTGGGAAGCTGTCTTTAGGGCCTCTATTTCAGGGGAAAAAGAGGCATTATCTAGAAAGGTCAATGGTTGAAGACAGATGAGCCGGGCAGCATAACAATTACTGCAGCACACAGGTGGGTGACCGAAGAAACACATGTGCACAGCTAGTAAAGAATCTGATGAGAAATGGTCTGTTTTAGTTAATGTGAAACCCTTACCCTAAGCCTAAGATGCAGCTGGGACAGAAAGACACACAGCAAGCAGCCTGATTTGAAAAAGCACTGTAACATTTCTGAACTCTTGGGCAGGGAGTGTGACAATCCTGTGTGCCATGCCCCAGAAGACCTGATTAATTCACTAAAGGCAATGATGTCATCCTGTGGAAATAAATAAGCCGGCTGAGCGAAGCCTGCCACAGCCAAGGCTGCCGCTGCCACAGCTCCTGCCCCTGCTCCTCCCATTTCCTTGGCAAGTGGACAGAAGTTGACGTAAGTGCACTGGAGCAAGGGAAAAGAAAAACAAGCTTCTAAACCACTCGAAGGGTAGAAACAAAAACAAACTTTCTGTATACCAAAAGCGTCTTGACTTGGATACCACCAAGTTTAAAAGGGCTTTTCACTTTAATGACAAAAGTAAACAAATAACCTCTTATTTCCTAAAAATCTCATTTGTTGGATTCCAAAAAGAATTAATATGAGCCGAAGATCTGTCTGAAAATTTTGTGTGTATGATGCTGGGGACCAAAACTCAGAGCTTACACTTTCCTGCTCTCCTGCTGAGTCACATCCCTGCCTAGGTTATTGGGTTTTTGTTTTTGTTTGTTTTCTTTTTTTTGGGCGGGGGGGGGGGGGAGAGGGGGGGTGTTTTTGGGGCCACACCCAGTAATGCTCAGGGCTCATTCCTAGCTCTGCACTCAGGAATTACTCCTGGTGGTACTCAAGGGATCAGATGGGATCTGTGGTTCAAACCCAGGTTGGCATCGTGCAAGGCAAATGCCCTACCTACTCTGGCCCAACATAAGACTTCTTTGAACTGCCAACTAATGACCCTCAACGGTCCATAGGAGTTTCAGGGCTAAGGGCACAAGCTGCAGAGACCATAGTTAAGTCTCTACACTCATTAAATGCAGCAGAGAGTAACAAAACAGTAAAAAAGATACATAGGAACTGTTCACATTCTGGGAAGTTGAGGAAAAAAATCCTCATTTTTTTTTTATTACTTTGGAGGGGAAGAGGTATGAGCCAACCCTGGCAGGTCACTCCTAGCTGCAGCTTGAGGGGAACAGTAGGTGGTGGTGGTGGGAGGAGAAAACTGAAGCAGGGGTCAACCACAGGCAAAGCAAGCACCTTACCACTGTACTCTCTTTGGCCCAAGAACCCTGATTTTTGGATTTTGGGCCACACCCGTCAGTGCTCAGGGCTTACTCTTGGCTCTGAACTCAGTAATCACTCCTGGCAGTGCTCATATGGGGTGTGAATCAAACCCAGCTCAGCTGCGTGAAACGCAAACACCTTATCTGCTGTATTATCGCTCTGGCCCCGGAACCCTTATTTTATGAAGAGAACCAATAAAGACAAGGAATTCCTTCCTTTCAGCTATGACACTTAAAGATTACCTGGAATACTTTCTGACTACTGAATTTACAAGAACTGAAATAAAGAGTGAACAAAAAACAAACACCCTACATGGGAAGCTTTACAGGATCTTGACACTGTATTAGTGTTGAGAACCACCCAAAGAGACCAATGAGGTTGGCATGGTGCAGCAGCAATGTAAGTGTAAAACAATACTGTTGGTGCTATTACACAAATGACAAAATTTAAAAAAAAGATTAAAAACTGTACAGACACAAAAATCTCTAAGAGAACTATGAATTTTGCAAATGAGAAAGTTCTATTTTAGAGGCCAGGAAGATCACTGAAAGGGGTGTTGCTCAGGCCCAGGATGTGTGAGCCCTTGCAGGAGAGGGCCTCCCCTGAGCATCACTGGACACAGTCCTGATGGTCCCGGCAGTGACAGACCTGAGCAGTACTGAATCAGAAGGCCAGAGAACCTAAACTTGAGCACACCATGCTGGGCCAAATACCTGAGAGTGGACCTCAGACTCCTCAGAAAAGGCAGAGAGAACATTCCCTGACACACACACACACACACACACACACACACAAAGAAGAAAAAGAAAGAAAGAAAGAAAGAAAGAAAGAAAGAAAGAAAGAAAGTAAGTTGTATTTTACTTACACTTTCGTTCCAGCTCCCTCATTTCCTCTGGTGGAATTTTCATTTTATCAATGTGCTCACGTAAAACACTAGCCCATTTCTGTAGCGATTCCATCACAGTCCAGGGCCTAGACATGTCTGCCACAAAAATGACCAGGGTCTCTGGTAAAGATTCAGCAGTAACAGCAAACTTCAACAGGCCTTTGTGGTACAGGTCTCCATCCAGAATCCACACATTACAGCGCGTGTGATCTAAGGGGGAAAAAGGGAAGTTAAGATATACCTGAGAATGACAACTAGCATACCTAGTAAGAGTCACGTTGGAAGCATCTGAAGGTGAGTCAGAAAAGAGCCCCAATGCTCAGGAGACAGCAATTCATGGTCAAGGTGCTCAATGAACTGTCAAGACTTCAACATTCTACATTCAACATTCTTCAACTGTCTAGACTTCTAGACTACATCTACCATAATACTGAGTCTACCTCTAAGAAGATTCCAGCTAAGAAGTGAAGAGTGAAGGTAATTTTAACTTTTCCATAAGAACCCAAAGACATGATAAAAGCTACACGTGGCTGGACCTACAGTACAGCAGGTAGAGCATTTGTCTAGCTCACGTCCAACCCAGGTTCAATGTCGAGCACCACACACATCCTAAACTCAACCAGAAGTGATCCCTGAATAACTGGGTGTGCCAGAGTAACTGGGTGTGAGCCAGAAAACTGGGTGTGTGCTGCGCCCCCACCAATGCCCTGCCAACAAAACAGAACGAAAGCTACAATGTTCGCTGGCCAGCCACAGTGCCCTACTCTAAACCCATTCTTTCTCCTAAGATACCAGAAATCTGTGCAAGAGCAAGCTGTGCTGATGAGCCTGTGGGCAGATAAGCTCTTCCTATAGCAGCCACACTGCAGTGCATTCACACGGCAAAGCACCAGAGGCAGGACCTTGTATTTAAGAACCCAGCTAAAGTCATTACTTTCATCAGGTGAGATATGAATCACTGAATGGTTACCTGATGATTCCTTTATAATATAAAGAAATTTCTGGGTTTTTGGCATGAAAATTAATGATTATTCTTTCTAAAATCCTTGCATTTTAGAATATACACAGGGAAATCTAGGGAGAAATGCTAAAATTTGCTTCAAAATAATCTAGCGCTGCATGAAAGGAAAAGAGGTTAAGAAACAAGAGCAATAAAACTGACCAAGAACTGGTAGCTGTGGGGTTCACAACACTAGTCTCTTTGTATTTGTCATTTTCCATAGTAAAAATTGAAAAATGCATATACACAAAATGTGCAAAAGCTGTAATTAAATGGTTTCAAAATCATACTTGATTAAACTGTACAAAACATTTCCCCATATTAATAAATTAAAAATAGTATTTTAGCACTCCTTTTGAGATATTTGCTGTTATTTTGAGGGCACACCCAGCAGTACTCAGGGGTCACTCCTGGTGGTGCAAAAGGGACAATATGTAATGCCAGGGATCGAGCTGGGGTCAGCCACAGGCAAGCAAAGTACCTTCCCCTGCTGTACCAGTTCTCTGGCCTATGAACTATTTTTTTACAAAAGCACCTAGATAACTCCTATCATCAAACAGATCACCTCATTAAGTTCTTTCCCAATAATTTCCAATACACACTTTCCCTCCCAAGGCGTACACTGGGCCACACCCAGCAGCAGACGTCAGGGGAGCATACGCAGTGCCCAGAATTCTAATCAGGATCAGTCACATGCAAGGAAAGAACACAACCGCCTGTACTAACTCTCCACCTACAACATGTACTTTAAATGTCTTCCATTAACTACCTTTTTGTAATAATCAATCCATTAACAAGTTAAAAACGTGTAATGAAAAACCTGTATTTATGACTTCAAGCTATACTTGATCTATTTCTGATAGGGTTTCGTTTCTATGCATGCCTTCAAAAATGCCACGGTTACCAAAGCTCTCGATGGTAACGCCTGCCTCTCACTAGGCTCCTTATTCGACCCTTTCCCACTGCCCGCTACTCGAAACTCCCCCGTGCCTGGAGATCATACCTGCCACCCACTGTGAAGTGGAACTGATGCCTCCAATGCTGAGGCATTGACATGTCACACCCCACCAAAAACCAGAGATAAGCCAGACTACCTTCTCGACTAGGTGACTGCCTGGCAAGAACCTTTTTATAACACACTATAAAACGGTAGAAGTGGGGCAGGGGCTGGAGCTTCTGCTTTGTGTGCGGGGATCTGTGTCTGATCTGCAGCACCTCACAGTTCCCTAAACACCACAGAATATACACCCAAAACTCAAACCCAAAACAACCAAGGCTGGCTCAGGGATGTGGTCATATACCTTGCATGGCTGAGGCCCTGGACCCCATCCCCAGCACCACAGGCTCCCCAACTCCTTTCCATTGCTGGGTACAATCTGGGTGATTCCTGCAAACTGCCAGAAGTGCCTCCCCAACAACAACAACAACAAGACCAAAGCTGAGAGATATAATTAACTACCTGTAGGGGCAATTCTCCCATCAAAGAGGAGCAATGCAAGTAGGTGGCCTTAAAAAAAAAAACAACAACAAAATTTATAATTGCAGAAGGCTACGAAATGTTTACTTGTTTGGAAGGTCTAGGGACACTATTGGCAAGGCTGGGGCAGGGGCTTTGCAGAGCTGGGAATTAAATTTAAGTCCTCACACATGCAATATTCTACCACTTGACCCACAGCTCTGGCCCCATCAAAGAAACTTTTACAGCAACCTTAAAGAACAGAAAACAGGGGCTAGAGTGACAGCACAGCGGGTAGGGCATTTGCCTTGCACGCGTCCAACCTGGGTTTGATTCCCAGCATCCCATATGGTCCCCCGAGCACCGCCAGGAGTAATTCCTGAGTGCATGAGCCAGGAGTAACCCCTGTGGATTGCCAGGTGTGACCCAAAAAGCAAAAAAGCAAAAAAAAAAAAAAAAAAAAAACACCCAAAAAACTCCCAAAGGTTAAGATGTAGTTCAATTTAAAGGGGACTGATGACCGATCATGGTGCACTGGCATGGAATATGCTTGCCACCTTAAACCATAAAGTATCTACCCATGTTTTGTTCTTTCAAAAGGGTAAAGATGAAGGCCGGAGAGAGATTAATGGACTGAATGGTTTTAGTGCTGTACTAGCTATATTATTGCTCTGGCCCCAAGTGCATTATCTGCATGTAGGAGACCCACGTCTGAACCCCTGTACACACGGTCCCCCACTAAGCACCACCAGGAGTGATCCCCAAACAAAGAGTTGGGAGTAGTCCTCCAACACCTCACTGTGGGCCCACAAACAATAGAAATACTAAAGCTGCTGTGTCTGAATCCTCTGTTACACCTGACACAGCCACTTCTCATTCTACCAACCTACAGAACAGGTACATTATCCAATTCTACAAACAACTAAATGCATGGTGGTTAGGTCGATTTGTGACAGCTGAAGTGGGATTCTGACCTAGTTCAGCCTGGCTTCAAAGCTTCCCCCAAACAATAAACATGTTCCCCAACACAGATCAGTGTGCTCAGACAGACACCTGAATGTACCTGTTTTTACACAAGATGTCACCACTGCGTCCACCTGTCCTTCACATTCTCAGGGAATGCTTCCTCCAAGGAAGCCTCAGGCTCTAAGACGGCCACTAAGTTAAAGTGCTAACACAAGGTGGGTCTCAGACTTTAACAAGTAAACCTTAGTGATTCTACTCAACAACTGCTACAAATCATCAACTTACAGTGCTAGAAAGGACCTGAGACCAGCCTCATCTAAGCAAAAAGGAAACAGAACTAGAGGTGGTAGAATTTGCTCCCCTATGTAATTGCCCCTACAATACTGTTTAAACAGGTGGGGAAAAGCCAAATAAAGAAATTTAACAGATGGTTTATCTTTATACTGCAAAGGCAACATTCCTATAAACAAAAGACCCATTATTCTACCACCAATAATTATTCTAGACCCATTCAAAAGGTCAAACATAAAGCCTAAAACTTCTGGGGTGATAGTTCAAAGTGGCGGAGCACATGCCTTACATGAACAAGGCCCAGAATTTGATCCCTGGCACTGTAGGGTACCCCAAACACATCCAGGTATGGCCCTGGTCGTGCCTGGTAGTGCCTGGCTCAGTCAACAACTGGAACAGCACCTCAGTGGGCCTGTTCATCACACCATCCATCTCTGACCTCCAGATACTGCTGGGGAAGCTCCCTGCCTCAGTGCCCCTTTCCAAACAGAAAACATACACACACACACACAAAGGCATTACTGAATAGTAGTAATGAAATAGTTGGTACTACTATTACTGAATAGTAGTAACCAAAAAAGAAAAAAAAAATCCCCCACCACTTCAATGCAACTCAGTAACAATTAAAGAATCTTAAGGTCATGTCAAATACTTTAATTATCCTAATGACACCAGAGACAGAACCGACTACTATCTCTTAGAGATGAAGATTTAAAAGACAGCATTATCACCTCTGAGCCTCTAATTTCACCACTGAAAGAAATGCAGGAAAACAGTATAATCTGCCACAAAGAAAACGCTCCTATGAATATCTGTTAAGATGTTATTCTCTGAATCACACCATTTTCAGATTCTGCACTAGAACAAGGCAAAGGAACAATGCTGTCTGGAGTAGCCACCAAATATTTCTCTCTCTTGCATTCATCTGGGGAACATAAAGAAACAAAATAGGAGACCAACACCCAAGAATAGCCGAGATAAGTACCAGAGGTTTACTCCATGGCTTAGAGGCTAGGGGAAAAGGCAGCTCAGATAGAGAAGGGAACACCAAATAAAGGGTGTTGGGAGGATCCTCCCAGGATTAGAGATGTGTGCTGAGAGTAGACTATAGACTGAACATGATTGCCACTTCTTTTGCAAACCACAGCACCCAAAAGGGAATGCCCTGCCACAGAGGCAGGGTGGGACGGGAGGGATGGGGGGTGGGAGGAAAACGTGCACTGGTGGAGGGATGGACACTTGATCATTGTATAATTGAAACCCAAGCACAAAAATGTGTCAGTCTACATCAGTACCTCATGCTGTTTCACTAATAAAAATTAAAAAACAAAAACAGAAACACATCTTTCTTTCTGTGCACTGCAACTTTACTCCAAGTAAAGTTGCAGTGTACAGAAAATCACTCCAGCCCCTTCTTAAGGGGCTGGAGTGATAGCACAGTGGGTAGGGCGTTTGCCTTGCACGCAGTCGACCCAGTCGACCTGAGTTCGATTCTTCCGCTCCTCTCGGAGAGCCCAGCAAGCTACTGGGAGTATCTTGGCCGCATGGCAAAGCCTGGCAAGCTCCTCGTGACATATTCAATATGCCAAACACAGTAACAAGTCTCACAATGTTACTGGGCCCGCTTGAGCAAATCAATGAACAATGGGAGGACAGTGATAGTGACAGCTCTTTTTAAGTGGGGACTATACAGAGTGGGCAGGTGACAGTATCACTTCCCATTTTTGCTGCCATTATCTATAAAAGAAAGTCTTGTGTAAGACACAGAATTCGCCCATTTCTGGCTAATTTCTAAATTCTTTAGAAATAAGCAACATTAAGAATGCCTGGACACGCCACAGGAGCTGCAACCAAGAAACCAGACGTGCATAAACCCCTCTCAGTGGATCAGCATCTCGCTTACCATCACGGTCCTCGTCGTGGACGCTGAGGTAGAGATACTCTAGGCCTCTTCCCTTTTTGCCATGCTCAGCTCCCTGCAGTTTTGTCATGAGGGTTGTTTTACCAGAACCATCTTCACCTATAAATGAAGCATAGCACACAAAGACAATGTTTAGGAAGGCGAGTTTGAGGAATGACATTCATGTGACAAAGAATAACTAAGACATTCACACAAAGCCTGCTGCTGAGGTCTCACCCGCATAAACAAAGCAGCCTGCTGTAAGAGTGGGGGCAGTGGGGGGAGACGGCAAACTCCAAGATCTAAAGTGACATTCTGCTGGAAAAGGAATCCTTACTCTAGAAGAGAAAGAACAACGCAGACTCACAAACGCTACAGTTCATAGGAAAGTGAAAAACACAAATCTTTTACCAGAAAAAAGGGCAAGAAATCATAAAAATACAATTGAGCTACAAGTCCAGTAACTTGGAACTAAAAAGAAATGTCTGAAGCTGCCACACAGTCATGAAGAATGGAAGCTTTTATTCACTTTATTTCAGTTCATCTCTTTCATAAGCAACCTTAGGGCTAAGAAACTGCTAAAAATAATTATAGACCTAAGCCGAACTCTAAAGCACAATCTCAATAATTATCAAGCAAATCCTCATCTCCCTCCACCCTACTAACAATCCCCCCTCCCCGAAGAAAACCTTTAATATCAAGAAGAAGAATGTCACTGGGCACCCCTGGGACTTAATGACATGGAATTAGAGAAGCAAAGGCATTCCACAGATCAAAGGCGTCCTCTCTGGCCCAGGACAAGCACTTTTGTTCTGAGCCACCTGCCACTCTGCTGCCAGAGTTCTCTTTTTCTGGTGCTCTCCCCCCCCCCCCAACCCCATGACAGAGTCTTCTATCACTGTGGCAGTCATCAGACACTACTTTCAAAAGCAGAGTGGAGGGTACGAGGGATACAACAAGGGTTAAGACAACTGCCTTGCAATGGATGCCCTGGATTTAATACTTGACTCCACGAACAAACCCTCCCCTCCCCCAACCCATCAGAAGTGATCACTGAGCACAAAGCCAGGAGTAAGCTCCAACCAGTGCAGTGTGGCCTCCCAAACAAAAGAAAACACAAAAGTAGTCAGTCCACCAAAGCAGAAATCCCTTGGGATTAGGGATTAAGGTAAAAGAAATGGTACTGAAGAATCACGGAAAGGGGGCCTTCTGGAAGAAGCACCAGTTCTTCTGCCTTCCCTAACCGGTCCCATTTTATCTCATCAGTCACTTTCGGCAAGGAACTTCTGGTAGCCCGCAAACCACCACACCCTGCTGTCACCAAGGTCCTGGTGCAAACATTTATTTCCTGTGCCCTTGTGTATTGGCATGCATCCTTTAAAACACCCGGGCATGAAATTTCACCACAACACAGGGCAGCTGGAAGCGCCCACGATACTCTGCCCATGCACGACGCGGGGTACTGGGTTCACCACCCCCTCTCCATCCCCAGAGTGAGGTTCCCTGGCAGTGTTTGCGGCTATTTGCGTGCGGGCAATGCCCCGTCGTCGGCAGAACCCTTCCACAAAATAGGTCCGCTGGAAGAATGAATCCGGTCACACTCCCTCACTTGGATGAAGACCCCCCCCCCCCCAAGTCCTTACACGTTAAGGGACCTGATCCAAGCGTCCCAGCAACGAGGGATGGAGTCACAGCGGTAAATTCCCAGGGCGGATCCCGCGGTTCGGCTGTCATCTGTGACTCGCTAAGTCCCCTAGGCCTGGGCACTTGCTCATTCCTTGCCCAAGTCGCCTCGTCCCAGGGCCGGCTCCACCTAACTTCCCGGAGTCGCGGGAGGCCGGGGAGGTCACCGCGAATTCGACTGGGACCGCGGTAGCATCACCGGGCTCCCCGCAAGGGACCATATCCCAAGCTCGGGCGCCGTGGGCCGGGCCACTCCCGGGCTGTCCGGCGCGAACCTCCAGGCCCGTCCGCGCGACGAGGTCTGGGACCCGGCAGCGGGGCGCCCGCATCTCCCCCCCCCCCACCCCCCCCCCAGCTCCCGGGGCACCGCCCCGCCGCTCACCGAACACCAGGATGTTCTTGCCCGACGGCAGCTTAGACCTGGCGCGGGTGGACACTTCGCTCAGGATCGAAGACCTGTGGGGACAACGGCAAAGCGGTCAGCCCCGCGGCCGGCCGACCCCCCGAGTGGCCCGCGACGGCGCCGTCAGACAGCCCGGAGGGTCCGCCCAGCTCGCCCGGCTCTCCAGCGGGCCGCACCCCACACCCGGCCCAGCCCGGCCCGGCCCGGCTCCCGCGCGTCTCACCAAAGGCTCTGGCCCTCTTCCTCCTCAGTCGTCAGGTCGCCGGCGCCCGCCACCGCGGGCCCGTTGGGGCCCAGCAGCAGCTTCTTCTCTACCCCCACGGGCGCCATCTTGCCAACTGCAACCACAAAGAGGGCCGGGCCTCCCCCGGCCCGGCGAGGACCCGCGAGGACCCCGGAGGGCCGCCCGCCGCTCGCCGCCCGCGCGCCTCACGCCGCCCCCCGCCGCAGCCGTCGCGCCAACGGCAGCGCCGCGCCGCGCCGACCACCCGGTGAACGTGGACTCCCGAGGGGGGGTTGTCAAGCTGCCACGGAGGCGCGAGGGGTGGGAAACAGTCAGGCAGCCGCCGGGACAGCCCTGCGCCGGGAGGCGACAACGGCGGTGGGAGCCGCCCGCTGGGGGCGGGGGCAGGGGTGGGGCGGGGGTGGGGGCAGGCGCCCCCTGTCGGCCGAAAGGCGTAGTGGCAACCCCGCCCGGGTTCCTGGGGCGGGGAGGGAGGGGACCGGCCACCAGATGGGACTGATTCGCTGAGTTCAGGTTTGGGGACGACAGTGTAGCGTCACTTAGCCAGCTCTTATCGTGTAGAAGTGACGCTTGATCTCACGGAATCTTATCTAACCCTTTTTCAGATGGGGACTTTGAAGGGCAAGAAGTTTAAGAAACTCCTTCAGCGAGCCAAAGCTAGGAGACAACAATCCCGTACATCCGATCGTATTCACTGATCATCTTAAACGACTCTATTCTGAAACCTGCCTACTCCTAATCAAGTCCACATTGAGAGAATGATTTTAAGGGCCAGAGAGATATTACAGTACAGTGGGTCAAACTCTTGCCTTGCATACAGAACACCAAGAATTTGATCCTTGGGTGCAAACTTCATATGGTACACCAAGCCCAGCAAGGAGTAAGTCCAGAGCAAAGCCGTGTGGGGTCCAACTCCTCTATCCCCCAAATAATTGTTTTAAACTTGCCTCACTTGCCCACCCCATAAGTAGTCTACTTTTTGGCTAGGAGAGAGAGAGAGTACAGTAAATATGACACTTGCCTCCAACAAGGCTGATCCAGGTTCAGTTCCCCCTTGCTGCGCATGGTCCCATGAACACCTCCACTGGTCACTCCTAAGCACAGAGCTAGGACTACCAGAAGTGGTTTCAGCCCCCTTTTCCCCACCCCCAACTATGCTTTTCTGCCCTTGGCCTTATTCAGTCTTTTTGATCTTTTTATATATATTTTTAACTTTTAAATTGAATATACATGAGATAGACCATTAAAAGCGGTTTGATTGGGTTTCAGACTACAATGATCCAACACCAGTGTAATTTCCCACCACCAATGTCCCTAGTTTCCCTCTCACCATCCCCCAACAGCCCCTCCTCCCCGCCCCCATCTCTATGGCAGGCACTTTTCTTCTTTCCCTCTCTTCTTTTGTGGATTATGATTTGCAATGCAGGTACTAAGAGATCATCATGTTTGTTCAGGTTGTTCAGTAGTTTTATTGAGAAGGTAAGGCTGGAATAGCTTATTTAACTGGGTGGATGATCACAACTGCTGATGTCACTGATGGCATGAATTGGATGGGGCATGCTCCTAGTCTTCTTGTGGTTTGCTTATCTGCATTCTCTGTGCCTGATCGTTTAACAATCCTCTACCCCATCAACTGCCTAGGTGATCAGCAACAGTAAAAGTTTCCTGAATATGCGGTGGCCAAAGTTTCATGTCAAATGAGTAATGAATTGAGGCATTTCTGGCAGCACTCAATCCTTTTTCTCTGATGAAAAGTTATGGTAGTTGAGAAAGTTTCCAAAGCTGTGCTTGACAGAAATAGTTCTCAACCTTTTTTTACTTCTGCAGAGTGGTGAAAATAGAAATAGTGAACTACTAAGTCAGAAATAAAATCCCTTAATGGTATTTTATTTTTTTTAAATATAAAATATAACTTAATCCAGGTATACTATGTGTTACGTGGAAGTAACTTTTTTGCAGACTGACACTGGTCTGTTGACTAATAAACCACTGTCTCAAGCACCCTCCTATCTAGAATTCTTGCAAAATAAAAAAGGAAAGAAAAAAAATTCTGGTACTAACTTTTCCATTTCCAACAGATCATATTAGAGAATTTTACTTAAGGCTGATGGATTTAATTGATCTGTAATTTTAAACTCCATTTTTCCTTTTTTCAACTTTAGGGTTTTTTCTTTTTCTGCTTTTTTGGGCAACACTCAGCAGTACTCAGGGTTTACTCCCAGCTCTGTGATCAGGGATCACTCGTGGTGCTCATTTTCAGGGGACCATTTCTGGTACCAGGGTATTGACTGCATCCAAGTCAAAAGTCTTATCTGCTGTACTACCTCTCAGATCCAGTTATTGCTGGAAGGGATCCCTGATATGTCAGATCACAAATGAGTGAAGACTTACTAGATGACATGGATCAGAGACTACTAAAGTCCAATAGTGGGGTTAAATATAAATGTATACAAATAAAGTAGAAAGGAACACAAGTTGTTTTGTTTTTGAGCACCTGGATGTACTCAGGATCACTCCTGGCTCAGTGCCTGGGAGTTGCTATCAGTGGTGCTCGTGGTAATGCCAGGGATTGAACCCAGACTATTTTCATGCAAAGCAAGCGCTCCAGTCCATTAAGCCATCTCTCTAGTCCAATTTGTCTTAACCATAATTTGAGCCTATCTGTAGAAAGCACAAGAAGCATTTTAGTAAAGTTCATCAAACCTCTTTTTGCCTAACAAAGAAGACACTTTGCCAGTCAAGCTACATTTCTTTCTAAATCATTATTCTTAAAATGGTGTTGCATAATTTCTGTTTTAGGGAGCTTTTTTGGGGGTTCACACCTGGCAATGCACAGGGGTTACCTCTGGCTGTGCACTCAGGAATTACTCCTGGCAGTGCTCGGGGGACCATAAGGGATGCTGGGGATTGAGTCCGGGTTGGCTACATGCAAGGCAAATGCCCTACCTGCTGTACTATTGCTCCAGCTCCATGTTGCATAATTTCTAATTAACATAATAACTATTACCTCAGACCACTTAAAGTGAAAAGATGTTTAAATCATGTCTCAACAACATGAAAGGCAATTTTTTGGGCAGGCTTGAGGCCACACCAATTAACTCTTGGGGTTGATAAGGTGCCAGTGATCAAAACATAAGTCTGGCATGCAAAGCATATGCTCCAGTTTACCGAGATATTGCCTGGCCCCAAGAGACAATTTCTAATTATCTAAGCCAACAAAATATATTCCTTTTTGACTACTGAAAACAACCTTCACGAATTTTGAGATGTGTAAGTTAAAATAACCCAGACTATTTAATGTATCATGATAGTGCTTAGTCAATAAATACTGACAAATAATGGTCTAGTTGCTGTAAGAATTTTCCTAAATGCAAATTATTCTTTTGCCTAAAGGAAATTTTGACTTAAATAGAATTTTCACTGTGGATCAGAAAACAATTTTAATAAAAAACCTCCGCTGTAGGATAACATTGTTTTGTCCTTCCTGCATAGCCTCAGGTAGTTTAGATTTATTGGATTGCTCCCATTACAGTGCTCCCATTCCTCTGTTTATTTGTAACTTTCTTTGTGCTCTGTTGACTTGTAAATATTGTTTTTCTCTTCTCCCTAAGTCCTTTGCATAGCTTATTCAGAGCAATGTCCTTTTGGGGATTTTTTTTAATTTTTGCTTTTTGGGTCACACCTGGCGATGCACAGGGGTAACTTCTGGCTCTGTGCTCAGGAATTACCCCTGGCAGTGCTCAGGGGACCATATGGGATGCTGGGAATTGAACCCGGGTCGGCCGCGTGCAAGGCAAATTCTTACCCGCTGTGCTATTGCTCTAGCCCCGCAATGTCCTTTTTGTATGGACACAAGAAGACATGCTTTTGTAATGTGACTCTCAGTAATATTTCCTTCCTGGGCATGTGTTCTCTCACCTAAGCCTCAGCTGCCTTTACTTCCTAGTGCCCCCAAAAGCAGGGTCCTGACAAGGAACTGGATGGAACCAGGGCAAGCGGTAAGCTATGTGCTACCCTGGCATCGAGATGGGTCTGGCCAAAGCACCATAACGCTTAACTATAAGTTAAGAGCTTGGTCATGGACAAATGCAGTCATGATCCAAAAGTAATAAATAGATTTGGACCCTGCTAGGGTTAGGAATGATTAATCTGGCCTGAGCGCTGTAGTCTGAGGCAAGATGTTCCCAGGAGAGCTGCCCTACAAGTGTCTATGTTATCTCTTACTGTGTCCATACAAAAATAGCTAGTATTGATATGTGGATAGTTACTGGACTGAGGAAAAGAGAAAAACACCTTTCTGGGTATTTTGCCCTTGGGCAGTCAGGAAGGGCTTTGGAATATCCTAGGTGGTGTTCCCTTTGAACTTGGTGGGCCCTCAGGAAGGGCTTTCTTATGTTGATTTCGCTACCTGACTGGGGGCAGTGTCAGTCTGGAGAGATAAGGGAGTTGGAGACTAGAGAGCTGGTGAGGAGAGAGAGCAGGGTGGCCAGCAAGATGGACTGTGGAGAGGTTAGCAAGGCAGAAAGAGAGAGAAGAATGTAGAAGAAAAATACAGGAGCAAGCAGTTGGAGAGAGTGGAGAGGAGAGGAGAGGCAGGAATGAAGAGAGGATTGGAATAAGCTGCAATGAGGACCAACCAGCCTGGCCCTCATTTCTTCCTTCATCTGTCCTTGGCCAACAGCCGTCCCGATCCAGGCCACACAAAGCGGCTCAAGACCACTGAACGCGGGTGGTGAGATAGAACCGTCCAGAGAGCCCCTGAACACACAACCTTCAACGTGCATAGATTTTACACACCGCCCCTCTCTGAGATCCCAGCTACAGAGAGTATCTCGCCTGCGTGGCAAAGCCTGGCAAGCTCCCTGTGACGTATTCAATATATCAAAAACAGTAACAAGTCTCACAATTTGCTGTGAGATGTTACTGGTGCCCGCTTGAGCAAATCAATGAACAATGGGAGAACAGTGCTACAGTGCTACAGTCTTCTTTTCTAAGTAGATATAGTCATCTGTAAGAGGTCAAATATATATAATTGCAGGAAACACCCAATTGGGACTGAATGGAGCAATGAATCAATGAGCATATAAGCATGAGTTTTCAAGTCCTAATATATACCTCAGCAACAG